CAATTATTATTCTTAACTATTTGATAGTTTAAATTATTTCTAAGAACTGTTAGCATTGTTTTTTAATCATTTCGAGATTAATAGGATAATATATTTCAAAATAACTTTGCAAGAATCAATGGATTGTTACGATTCTTTTAATATTATCAACATAAAGTATATCAAAGCGTAGGATTTCAAATGGAAATAGAATTGTACGTTCCATTTCATAAATTAGATTCAACTTATTTTTGAAAATAGTGAAGAAGGTAGTGATTGCAAATTAGATTGTCTCCAGAGAGACCGCCTTTCGCTGTGAATTGGATTCAATGCTTGTTCGCTCTTTCTAAAACCTGAGTTTTAATCTTTCTGCGATTTAACTATCTCGATAAAAACTTCATATGCGCGTTAATATTTATCAGCCAACTTTTTCTACGCGATATTTTATTGCGATAGCGAAAGTAAGGAGGAAAATTGAAGTGCTTATCGATAAGATAAGAATGCTAAAACTTTTTGCGAATGTCGACTTGTTACAGAGCAAGGATGGAAAATTGTTTTAAATCTATGAAACTGATTTAAATTCAACCGGAAACAGAGTGTCGTTAACTAGTAGGTAATTTAGTTTCCTCGTTTGTTGGATTGTTTATTCGAAAGTAAAAGTTATTCGAATTAAATGTTTCCATGATTCTAGATCTTTCTCGAATTAATAGTGGTGTACATGGCTAATGAGTGTTTTTCGTGTCGATTGAAAAAAGTAAATTTAAACTGATATACTTTCCCTGTTTTCATGAAGTATATGTTATATATCTAATTCGTATTTGTGCATTATACTTATTGCATGATGAAATACAATCTTTGACAGAAAATATTTGATCATTCTTCAAAATTTTTAGATTTTGATATTTGTCATTTATTTTTATATATAATCGAAATTGATAAAATTTTCAATATGTATTATAATTCATAATATAATATCAATATAACAAAAAATGTATTGTTTAATTTTTCATTATAAGTTTTGAACAAATTTTAAATTAAATTAAAAAGCGACTAACCTAACCTAACTTTATTATTTTCTTTGCAATTCCGATCAATTACAATTTTTCAAAAATTTGTCTTCACATATTATTATTTTTCACCAAATTAATTCTAACTTTCCAAAAAAAAGAAAAAACTAAAGTTGTTTATATAATTTTAAAAAAAATCATTCTATTTTAACCTAACTTTATTATTTTCTTTGCAATTCCGATCAATTACAATTTTTCAAAAATTTGTCTTCACATATTATTATTTTTCACCAAATTAATTCTAACTTTCCAAAAAAAAGAAAAAACTAAAGTTGTTTATATAATTTTAAAAAAAATCATTNCTATTTTAACCTAACTTTATTATTTTCTTTGCAATTCCGATCAATTACAATTTTTCAAAAATTTGTCTTCACATATTATTATTTTTCACCAAATTAATTCTAACTTTCCAAAAAAAAGAAAAAACTAAAGTTGTTTATATAATTTTAAAAAAAATCATTTTATTTTAAAGAGTGATCGAATACTTTTTGCCAGATATTTAAAAAAAATTATATAAAATTATTTATCTTTGATTTTAGGAAAATTTAACCTATAATTAATCTTTATTGAAATACGGTGATTTTCGTTAACAAGTTTGTGACACGTTTTCAAAGACAAGGATGGTATTTATGAGTCACGATTTTAGCATATTAACAACATTCATCGTTCGTGACGATGTGTCATATATAATTTCTATGTGTTATCGTGAAAATGTCGAAAAATAATTGAAAGAGCATCAGAATTCGTGATTATTCGATATATATATATAAAAAAAAAAGGGTATCGGTGTTAATGGATACCACTTTGAACATTCGAATAATACGATATAAACAGCATATTTACTTGCATCGTTCTAACAGTATCTTGGAATTTCATTACATCGTCTGATGTTTATATTGATGCCTTTAGGCAATAATTCATATATATATATATATATTTCATCGTGTCAATATCAATTACAAGATACAAAAAATGAAAAAATACGTAACGTTCTCATGCTTCCTCGTGGTAAAAAAAAATCGTGTTACGTTTTAAATACTTTTCGAATTATTACGATAAATGAAAATATTTAATTATTATTTCCTTTATATATTGAAACAATATAAAATTGACTCTGTTTATTTAAAAAAAAAATCTTGAGTTCTTTGACATTTCTTATTTGAATAGATTAATGCACGATATAAGCAATTGTTATTAAACGGAAATTCAATTCAGGAAAATATTTGATCGGACGATTTCGATCAATTTTACGATTGATTTTTATTTGTATATATTCCGATACATTATCATTATATTGATAACCTCGCATCGTTTTTTTTTATTTATGTTTATATATATATATATATACATTTATATACTTGTATACGTGACTCATTGATCATCTAACGGTAATATGAATATGAAATATGATTTTACAATGTGAAATATTGTAAAGTAAAATTAACATATTTGTTTATAATACAAACTGTAATATATGTATCTCATATTGTATACTAAAAATATTCCTAAAAAAAGTAAATCATTTAATTTTTTTTTTTTTTTTTTAGGTGTGATAATATTAAACGCCATTTCATCGTTTGTTAATTTGAAATAAGATCGAAATAAAGATTATGGAGGTTGTGATATTATTTCTATTTCATTTCCTAATTTTTTTTAATTTGATATTTCATGATTTAGCAGAAAAATATAATCTATAATAAAATCACAATATTATCGAAAATACATGTAATAGCAAATTTGTTTTAACTATTACCGTTAAGTATACATTAGAATGATGAAATTAAATTTTTGGAATGTTGCTTCATAATAAGAAACTTACACTTTGGTGACTCAGTTATGTTTGAATTGACGTCACTAAGTAATCTGATTATTAAAAGTAAAACACATGAATACACGTATAATGTGAATCTGTGATAAAGTCAACAAATACATGATATTTCTTATTTAAAATTATAATTGTACATAAACATTCGTTTAAATACATTCTCATTTACGAATACGCCCACTTAAGTTGCAACGTTACCGGATGTACAGTGACATATTGTAGTAATATGTTACAGTTCGCCATTGTGACGTAACACGTCATTCCACTTCATTTATTCTATTTACAATAATGGTTAAATTTATAATGCATCATTAAACTCAATAATATTATCGTTAATATGATATATCTGTTATCTTGTCAAAAAATTCTGAACCTTTCTGAAAATAATTTCGCTTGGACATGTGTACAAATCTAGCATTGTACAAGTTTCTTGTTCGTAACTAGAAAAGAGGATATCAAAGTGCATTATCAATTATCGACTTTTCTTTGACTGTGGAGTTCCGAGTTTCGCGATATATATTTCGAGATATATATTTCTTTCTACTTCCGATAAACTATGATATTTCTTCTATATCTAAAAAAATAACGCTTTTTCTTAAAAAAAAAAAAAAAAAAAAAATGATAAGG